CATAGTAGCCAGACGACGACGACGACCGAGACGACGACGACGACGACCAGGAAGACGACAACTGAAGAGCCTGAAGAGCTGAAACACCGCGCAGTCTCCAGACGACCCTGAAGATCCTGAAGAGCTGACACTGCATCGTCTCCAGACGACCTGGGAGACCCTGAAGAGCTGTAACACTACATCGTCTCCGGACGACCCTGAAGAGCTGTGATACCGCGTCGTCTCCGTGCTGCTCACAGTAGACGACGCGACCCTTAAGAGTTGTGACACTGCGTCGTCTCTGTGCTGTACCGTGCTGCCCACAATAAACAGACGATGCTGTCGTCTCCGTGCTGTAACACTACGCTGCTTGCCCCGGCTCTCACTCCTTCACTCAAGAAACCCGTTCGGCTGTCCCCCCGGGTCGGGACACCGATCCAGTGGATATGCTAATACCCTAACCTGCTAGATCAAAGGATTGGCCTACTGTCTTAATCTACTGGGTCATTGGAAAAGTCAGGACTTACTTTTTTTTTTTTCAAGAGGTTTTTGCTATAGGGCGCGTGCGCTCGCCAGACAGACAGACAGAGACAGAGAGACAGAAAGCAAGAAATCACCACCCCAGCTGAGATGGCCACGCCGCAATCCCTTCTCCATTCTCCTCTTGGGATCTGGGGCACGCATGCACATGCGCCCAGTGTGAGTTTTAAGCCACAGGGTCCGGGACACGAACTGCGGTCAACTACGTGGGAGTCCAGCGACATAGCCATTACACTAACTGCTGGTTCCCAACACAGGAATTCCTTTCTCACCATTCTGGAGGCTGGGAAGTCCCAGATCAAGGGGTTGACAGATTTGGTGCCTGGTGAGGGCCCACTTCGTTTCACAGGCGCTGCCTTTCTGCTATGTCCTCACACGGTGGAAAGGCAAATGAACTTCTGTGGGTTTCCTTTATAAGGGCACTAATCCCACTCCTCACACCACCCTCCTGGTCTAAGCACCTCTCCAAAGGGCTCATCACCTAATACCACCACCTTCGGGGTAGTTCTGGAGAGAAACATCAGTCAAACCTTAGCACCAATCTTCAGATTTAATAAATAATGCAACAAGTATTCAGCAAAGTGGTTCTATCATCTGACCCTCTCACCAGCGGCGTGTGAGAGTTCCTGGTGCTCCACATTCTCCTCCACACTTGGTATGGTCAATCTATTTGACCTTTCCAAACTGCTAAATGAGTGATGGAGCGATTTCCTTTTCTCTGGTTGGGTAACAGACACTTCCTTGCTTCCTAATGTCTCAGGCTGCAGAGTACAGAGAGAGCCACAGCTGCCCCACTAGCGACCTGTACTCCAGCAGGACGTGGAGTCCTCAAAAGCTTCATGGGAAATGTGTATTCCAAAAAAGCTATGCATGGATTGCAAACTTTTCTGTACCAAATAAACTCATACCAAACTCTACTTTCTTTTGAAACTTTTAGAAGTCCCTTTGTGTATGACGTATGGCAGTGACTCCAGAATCACCTGGGAGCTCTAACAAAGGAATTCTGGGAGGGCCAGCAGGTAACATGATAATTAAAGGCACTGGATTCCTGCATAGCCAATCACGACTCAAGTCCTGTACCTGGTGGCTTGAAAATCACACCGGGCACAAGTGCATGTGTTCCCAAAATCCGAAAAGGAAAATGAAGAAGGGACTGCAGCATGGCCATTACACTGGGAGGTGACTTCTCACTTTCCCTTTCTCTCTCCCCCTCCAGAAAGCACATGTACCCTTAGGGAGGAAAAAAAAAAAAAAAAAAAAAAGGAATCCTGGTGTCCCATCCTGCAAGATTAACTCAACGAGTGTGGGCCAGTGATCTGTATATATATAAAAGCCCCTTAGGTAATCCTCCTGTACTGCAGTTTAAGACACCTGGGCCTTCTCTTGCCAGAAGAAACAGAACTGCTGTGTTCAGGGACTTGGGGGTTGGGGGCAGCAGGCAATAAGACTGAGTGCAAGACCCCTCACTAGTATACCTACATTTTCACAGGGACAAAAACTGAATACAAAGGAAAGCATCTCTAGAGGGCTCCCAGCTGGTGGAGGAAACACCATGAGGGGAAGACAATTCTTCCATGACTATAAAGTCAAATGATGAACAGAAGTTTCACTCCTAGTAACTTCTGGGTCTCTTTTTATTCATACTCAAAGTATGTACTATAACTCCTCCTCCACACACAACTGAAGAAATAATAGCCTCTGCTGAATTAAACACCAGGATTGCATAATACGAACTTTTTTTCCTTCTGTAAAATTTAATTAAGGGTAATGGCAGAAACTTCCCACTGAAACAAAGAACTCATCTTACCTTTTTCAGATCCCATGAACAGATTCTGTAGAGACACAAAAGATTAAATACTATCATTAATATTTTTAAAATCTAGGTCAATATGGTCATTTCACAACAAAACCATTTACTTATCCAAGTGAAAAACAAAAATATGTTTTTTTAAAAAGGGAAACATAGGTCACTAAGTGCCACCAGACATTCAAATTTCTACTCAACCCGGGGCTCTCAAATACTGCAATGTTTGACAGCAGAGTCACTGGGAGAGCTGTTTTAACTTACTCTAGTCAGGCAGTCCCCACCTAGGCCAATTCAGGCCAGCTAGCTCTCCCTTCTCGAGGACTGTCCTGTGAGTGTAGGATGCTAAGAATCACAGCTAAAAATTAACTTGATATGGGGACGGCAGGTAGCATAGTAGTTAAAGAGCTATACTCCCACGTAGTCGACTACTGTTTGAGTCCCAGAGCTGGAGGCTTGAAACACACACTGGGCATGTGTGTGTGTGCCCAACATCCCAACAGAATGGAGAAGGGACTGTGGTGTGGCCAGCCCCCTGGAGGGGGTGATTTCTCATTTTCTGTCTCTCTGTCTCTCCAGTGAGTGCATATACCCTATAACAAAAATCTCTCTCTCTCTCTCTCTCTCTCTCACACACACACACACACAAAACTATGCATTGCTCCCCCCCACCCCAAAAAAAGAAGAAAAAAAATAGTTCAGATTTTGCCTGTCATTCTGCTCAATGAATACATGCCCTGGGAGAAAGAGCACGAGGACAGGCCCAGTGGCAGAACCTTCCCAGTGGCCGTCCTCCCTGGCCACAGCCCTGACTTTTAGATTTCTCAGCTTCCCTTGCACCTGTGTATGAGCTGTAACGACCTTCAAGACAAATGTAACTATAAGTGTTGAGGAAGACTCCAGGAAGACCCCATGAATGAGAGATGGTGCAGCTTTCTTTTTCTTCCTCTGTTTACCAACTTGGGTAAGAGGCAACACGAAACATGGCAGAGGAGCAAGAAGGAGCTAGAACCTTGATGACCCTGGAGTTGCCAAACCATCCCTGGAATGCTCACCTCAAGACTTCCTTTCAGTGGAAGGAGAGGTACATGTCGCTCGTGTTTACATCATCAGGGGGCACTCTGGTCAAAAGCAACTGAACCTGATCCCAGCTAACACAGGCAGTCTGCCTCCACTGGGTTGGTCTCAGCCCTCCTGAGCTTTTCCTTACATGAGCAACTTGCCACATCAGGGGTAAGTTTCATACCCAACACACACCCCCAGCCAGAAGCCAAATGCCTCACCTAGTAATGCCAAAGAATTGGTGACCTTGCAGTTCTAGGATCTCGAAGGTCCCCAGGAACAGGACTCCACTATTCCTGGGCTTTCTCTGAGCTGTGTCATATCCCTGATTTTAATACATTTTCTCTTTCAGAGAAACCAATCAGCATTTTCTCCCAACTAACATGGACATAATAAGTGCAACTTATAGAGCCAAGGAGTTGGGGCAACATAATAAAAAAATTACTAGTGACTATGAAGTACATCCTGGGTAAAGGGGCACTGATACTCACAATAGACAGCTTCTCTGTAGTTGTATACCGGGCAAGGATTTCTCCCCGTTTGTTGGCCCAAGGTTCAAAATCCGATCCAACAACAGAGTTATCATCTCTATCCCGTTTCTTCCTGGAGTGGTCCTAAGGAATGGCAAGACAATGTCTTCAGCAGTAATATCATTTTAATCTTAAAAAAACAGTGTAAGCAGAAGGCAAACAGTCTTTAACTATGGACTAAAATAGATCTGTCTCAGATATACTATGATAAAATAGATTTTCAAGCCATTTCATCACAAATGGCCAATAAACATACCAAAAAATGCTCAAATTCTAGGACTAGCCGGTGGCATAGTGGCTAGGGTGGCTGAATCCCAGTTTGGGTCCTGAACCTGGTGGCTTGAGAAACACACCGGGAACATGTGCATATATGCCCAAAATCCCAAGAGGAGGCTGGAGAAGGGACTATAGCATGGCCATCCCCCCCCAGGGGGTGATTTCTCATATTCCCTCTATATGTCTCTGTCTCTCTCCAGTAAGCATACACACCCTATGGCAAATAAACAAATAAATCTAAAAAATAACTCAAATTCCTCAAAAGTTAAGGAAAGGCAAAGAGAAAAAAAAGACCACATTTCAACTATGAGAATTAAAGTGATTGTAAATATCCAGGCTAATAAAAAGTAGGGAAATGGGCATACTTCAACACTGCTGGTGGTCATGTGCACGTTGGTAGTGGTAAAACAGTTTGGTGGTGGCCATCAAAACCTTAAAGACATGCCTTAGGCAAGTAATGAACTTCCAGGAAGCCGTCCTGCAGAAGTCCTCACATATGTACACCAAGTATGTACGTTTAGGGAACATGGTGCACCTCCGTTTACTCCAGCAAAACCCAGAAACCATCACTTGTGTGTATATATCAATAGCAGAATGGCAAACAGCACATTTCTGCATGTGGCTAAAGGTCACATGTTTTCAGACTGGTTGCTCTCCACACTGTTGTCATTACATTTATGTTTAACTATTTATAGAAACACTCTGAAATTGCTGTCATAAACATCTACAAAAACACTGGGTTGTTGGAAAAGATGTTGATGCATCTTTGCATAGAAAAACAGAAAAAATAAGTCAAGACTTTTCTGGCAACCCAATACAAAGAAAAAAATGATAGAAGAACATACATTACTGTAGGGAGCAGCCACATCTGAGCAGCACAATGGTGACATTTAAACACAGGCAGAAGCACAGTTCTTTGGGCTGTCACTGCAAGACTAGCAAAAGCCATTAACAAAAGAATACGCTGTCTGCCTCTGTGTCAAAACTGCAAGGCAGTATTGGTTAAAGGAAACTGTGTTAATATATAAAAAAAAAAAAAAAGGCCTGAGAAGATAAAACTCCTATAGGACTGCATGGTGCCAGAGGTTTCACATCTTCAGCACATTAACATCCGAAAACAACTGGCTTTGCATTCTGCTTCCCCTTTCCTCTTTTCGCCCTATAAAATAAACCTGATTACAACTCGGGCCACAAATGTCTCCATCAGAAGAGTCTGGTCTACCTGATCCTCGCTTTTCTCTATATGTGCATCTTTGCATGTTTATTTCTAATCCACAGCTGCTCCCACTCAGAAAGAACACATTTGGCCACATGGGTCACGGCACATTGCACTGATAACACTGATGATCTCCAAGGTGGAGACGGAATAAAATTGAGTGGGCTACAGGACTTGAACTGTAGTGTTTGAATCTTTCTAATTGCCAGAGGGTACATATGCTCAAGAGAGAGAGAGACAAAGGAAGAAAGAACCCCCACAGTACCTTCTCCTGTTTCTCAATCCTGTCAAGATCTGGGGCATGCACATATGCCCAGTGTGTTTTTTCAGGCCAGTAGGGCTGGTATTTGCGTTGTAATCAGTCATGTGGGATCTGGCTCCCTTAGCCACTAGACTATGGGACTGGCGCATGGTGTTTGACTCTCTAATCAAAAAGTAGTGATTACTATGTAATTATATAAAAAGAATTATACAAAGAATTAAAATAAATTTTTAAATGCTTTCAAAAAAAAAGAGAAGAAAAAGAAAAAGACTTCCAGATCTATATCAACCTCTTTCCAGCAATGTCCTCTTCTCTAAGCAATACTCTGTGGGTGTCTGGATGATTTGAATTCTTACAGCCGGAATACAGTTTTTCACTTGTACAACTTAAAAACAAAATGAAGCGGAAAACCCCCATCCCAGCACCCACAGAACCAACCACCCCAGCTGGACGACAGAAGCCGGGGTTGTTACCGTGGTGGCTGCCATGGTACTGGGGTCAGCAGTAGCTGCAAACATGGAGAGGGGATCAGTGCCATCGAGGACGCTGCTCAGTGGGTCCACCACGGAACTGGAGGAGGAGGAAGACGTGGACGAGGTGCTCCCCTTACGGCTCACTTTCTTTGTCTTTGATTCTGTGACCTGTGGGGACATTCGTGGAGATCAGCTGGAGTTCTCCTAGGGACGTTGCCCAGGAAACACTCAGGAGGTTCTTTTCTCTAGTTCTGCTAGGTGAATTGTCGGTCATTTGCAGCAGACACCAATCTGCAGGGGGTGCTTATTTTTTGTGACAAATTGGCATGACTCAGAATCACAGCTGTGGAGGAAGGGAAGGTAGGGAATGAAGGTTAAGGAGGAAGAGACAGGACTGTTATAATTCAGGAGACGATGGCTGACATCTGACCAGTATTTGGCCACTGGTCCTGCTTCCTGGCATGCTTCCTACAACCATTACAACCTCCCCAGTGGGAGGTGCTGAGAGCACCTTTGATTCTAACATTTGGTCTTTGACTCTAGTTCTTGCCACAGAGCTCGTAATCCTCAGAATTTCCAGAGTGATAGAAGCATCTTCTGTTCTAATGGGGAGACTCTTCGTCAATGTCTGGATGGGGACTTGTCACTGGAAAGAAAAAGCCATGATTGGAAGCTCAGATGCTTCACTCCCACTCTCCATTCTTCAGGAAGGGGAGAGGTGGGAATGAGTTAATAACTAATCATGCCTGTGCAATGAAGCCTCCATAAAAACCCCTACAAGATGGTGCTTGGAGAGTGTCCGAGCTGATGAAGAACACATCGAGGTGCCGGGAAGGTGGTGCACCTGGAGAGGGAAGGAAACTTCCAGTCCCTTGCCTACACTTCGTCTTGTGCACTTTGTCATCTATATCCTTAGTAATACCCTTTGTAATAAACCTGCAATGTGAGCACATGTTTCCCTGGGGTGTGTAGGCCATCATAGCAAATTACTGACTAAGGAGAGGTCCATGGGAACCCCAGCTTCTAAAAGATTAGGGGGCTAAGTTTTGGAGTCAGGTGAGATCACCTGCCCTCTGAGGAGCTAGAGATCAAGTTTAATCATATGCCTAAGAAGCAATCAATCATGCCGATGTAATGAAATGGTAATACAAATCTTAGAAACATAAGCCCAAAGGAGCCCCTGGTTGGTGAATGAGCTGATGTGCTGAGAGGGTGATGCCTGATTCTGCCAGCCATGTGGCTCTTCATCAGCTGCTCCTGGGTTGCAGCCTTTATAATAACATTGTCATCAGAAGTGTTGCACTATTCCATGTTCTGTGAGTCCTTCCAGTGAATTATCAAAACTAAGGGGGATATGGGAATCCCGTGTGCGGAGAGCAGCCAATCTGAAAACATGTGACTAAAACATGTGGCCTCTAGACTTATGCTGATATGTGCTTCCGTAAGCTAAGCTAGCAGGGCTATTAAAAAGCATCTACATACAAAAGCAGTACCTGCCTGTTGTCAATGGTTGTCTTCCTACTATTGTTGATACCCAATACCTCAATACTGCCCAGCATCAGGCTAAAAAATGTCACAAGCGTTTATCAAATTGTCCCCCAAAAGAAACAGAGAAATTCTATGGCGCCAGTCATTTTCACATTTTCATTCGATTTACGTCCAAAAACAACTGGCTTTGCATCCCAGTTTCTCCTCCCTTATTCTCTTTGCATTCCACTTCCTTCTTCCCCACTCCTTTTACAGCCCATTTTCCCCTTCCCCCATTTTCTGCCCTATAGAAGAATAAACCTGAGGCTGGTTCTGGTCACAGTTTCTCCATCAGAGAAGTTGTGCCCACCCAATCCCCACTTTTCCATGCTTGTGTGTCTGTGTGTGTTTGTTATTGCGTCTATTTCTAATCCACAGCCTTCCCCACTCAGAGAAACATGTTCACGCGCCCAACATGGGGCCTGAGTATGGGGAAAGAATCAGGTGAGTGGACACTCCTTGCAGCTGGCCGGTATTACTGAGTAAGGTAAGTTTCCTATAGCATAAAGTAAGAGTAAAAGAGAGATGCTAGAGTAGCTTACAAAAGCACATATCTCAATGTGTCTACAGGCCACATGTTTTAATCACATGTTTTCAAATTGGCTGCTCTCCACACCGTGGATTTGAAGCCTGCTGCTCAGAGGTGCAGGTGGCTTAGGGACCCCCATTTGCAGCCAATGCCTAGATTGAGGTCTCTGCCATTAAGAAACATTATGTTCTCCATGTTCACGGGCATCTGTCAATCACGCTCTCCCTGTTATGACAATCACTCGGTTTCCAGTCCTTACTAATGACAAAGTGCTAACCTAGCAGAGAGAGGCCACCCTCACCCCTCTTGCTGGTGTCTTTTCTTTTATAAACAAATTCACAAAGATGGTATTCAGGACAACATCCTAGACTGGTGATGAGAGTGGTTCTTAATATTTTAAATAGGAAAGTAAAGAAGCAAGATATAGCTTGTTAGCATGCTCAAATCAGGAATGATGTCATCCCATTCCCATGACAACCCCATGATAAGAAAAGGGGAGTAAAAATGATGGTTGGTTAGGCCACCATTACAGAAAGAGGCAGGAAACCGATTTAAATATGCAAAGGCTGCTACCACTGGTCAAATGGAAAGGCCCAGGAATACTGTCTGTAACTTTGCAGGAGAACCCCACTTGGAGAGACCCCTGATACAACTTACAGTTATAGGTTTCAGGGGGTGATAGTCCCCAAACTCCAACGGCACAGCTTCCAATCGGCATGATGCAAATTCAGCCTTGTAGTTCCTGTTCCTGGAATGCCTGGTAAACAGCACAACACAGAAACCAATTAGTTGATGGGGATATTTAAAACACAAAACTTTTCTGCTGAGGCTTCCTTGATGAAGGGTAAAGAAAACAGGCCACAGGACCAGCAGTTAGCGTTATGGCTATGTTGCTGGACTCCCATGTAGTCGACCATGGTTCATGTCCCGGACCCGGTGGCTTAAACTCACACCGGGCGCGTGTGTGTGCGTGCCCAAGATCCTGAGAGGAGAATGGAGGAGAAGGGATTGCGCCATGGCCATCCCCCCTGGGGGGGTGATTTCTCGCTTTCTGTCTCTCTGTCTCTCCCTGTCTTTCTGGTGAGCGCACGCACCTTATAGCAAAAACCTCTCCAAAGAAAAAGAAAAAAAAAAAAAAAAGACAACAGGCCAGATTGATGGTACAGCAGTAACACTGCTCAAATGAAGTTGGATCCAGAGGGAAGACTGCAGGTTTGGTTCCCTGGCTGACTACGCACATCGGGCACACGTGCCCACAACTCTGGCTGGCTGGGAGGGCTGGTGGAGTGCAGCTTGAAACTCTTTTGAGTGTGCTTCTATTTCTCACTCTCATGAAAGAAATAAACTTTTTTTTTTTAAAGAACAGTATTCCTACCACGACCAACAGGAAACAGTAAATAAAAAACATTTTTAAAAACTGTTTAAATGGGACCAGTAGCAGGTAGTGTGGTGATTAATGCACTGGATTCTCACATGGTTGACCACAGGTCAAATCCAGGACCTGGCAGCTTGAATTTCACGTGGGGTGTGTGTGCACGTGTGCCCAAAGTCCTGAGAGGGCAATGGAGGAGAAAGGATTGTGGGGTGGCCATCCCCAGGGCAGGGAAGATTTCTCACTTTTCCTGTGTCTCTATCTCTCTTTTGTGAGCACATGTAATCTAAGGGGGAAAATAAATAAACAAATGCTTAAATGTATATAGAGCTGCCAAGGCCTACTACCTTAGCACCCCAAGTCTAACAGTGACGGTAACTGGTCAGCTTTACCCAATATTCCCCACTAGCCAGGAACCCTGAACCTAGCCCAGCCCAAAAGATCTGTGCTCTCTGTACTTTCATTTCTACCCCTTTCTTAATAAATTTGGCTCTCAATGCAGGAAAAGAGGAGAAAGTCTGGTTAGTGAAAATGGGCCATTTCTACTTTTAGTTTTTTGGGTTTTTTTTTTGGAGAGGTTTTTGCTACAGGGCACGTGCACTCGCCAGAAAGACAGAGAGAGACAGAGAGACAGAAAGCAAGAAATCACCCCCTGGGGGAATGGCCACACAGCAATCTCTTCTGCTGCTTTCTCCTCTCGGGTTCTTGGGCACGCATGCACACACGCCCAGCGTGAGTTTAAGTCACTAGGTCCAGGACTTGCACCGCAGTTGACTACATGGGAGGCCAGCGACATAGTCATTATGCTATCTGCTGGTTCCTCTACTTTTATTTTTTAAGGGAAAAGCCTACCACAATATATTGCCCTCTGGATCATATTTACCAAATATATGCTATCTTCAGCTTCCAAGATATTGCAACTGAAATCACCTATGTCATATTCTTCCATACTCTCTCCAACCAAGAATGCTACCAGCTAATTCCTGCTATATAAAACAAACACAACCCCAAAGGATAAATTTGAATCATAGTCATCAACAGTCAAGATAAAGTTTAGAACATATATTTTTCCTCTTTTCCAATCACTCCCAACTTGACCAATTGTACAATTTTCTGAAAGGTTAATTGAATAGAATGTATAGAAAATTTAATCTGACAACTTGGACACCAATGCTTTCCATCCCTATAGGACTGACAAATCAATAACTGAGAAAAGCATGAATCAAGATGGCTTCATAAGCAACAATCAAATAACAGTTCTCATTATATACCAGGCTCCAGGCCAACTCTTGTACCTCCGTTACCTCATTCAGTCAACCCTGTGAGGTAGGTGCTTTGGTTATACCCATTTTACACAAGGAGAAGCTGCGGTTCTATGTGCTGGTAACCTGTCAAAGGTGGCAGCTGCAGTGGTAACAACAGAATCAATAGTTCTATAGATTAACTCTAGGTCATCTTGAGACTTTATTTTTTTAAGAATTATTTTATTTAACTTTATTTTAATTTGACCAGAGAGGGACAAAGAGAGAGAAAGGGAGAAAAAGAGAGAGAGCGAGCCACCAGGTCCGGAACTTGACCCTTGGTCGGCCATGTTGGAGTCCAGCGCCCTTAACTACCATGCCACACCACCTGCTGACCCCCATCTTGAGAACTTTAAACATTAAGCAATTGTCTACTTTTCTTGAAAGGACCGACCTTTGAAATGAATTTTATTAAAAAAAAAAAAAAAGCTCGGAGAAGTGGTTTGTTGGGGGGGAAAAAATGACTGCTTCTGCAAACAGATTTGGGGGGAAAAGGGTGGGGAACATTTTCCCTTCCTGAAAGTCCATGACAAACTAACACACAGTACTTTCATTTTCTATAATTTCTTCCTTTATTCCACAAATTTGCTCTGATCTTTAGCATTTCCTGCAGTTTGTGACATTAATGTATTTTCTTAAACCTGGCCTTTGGTAAGGCTAACAGTGACATCTAGTGGACATCTTCTCAAAACTCCCTACTTTTTTCTTCCAGTTAACAGTTGACACAATTGGTTTGAAAAAAAAAAAATCTCCATCAATCCAACCCCCAACAATGCAAAGGGCCCACCTGGCTCCTGAGCAGATGCCACAGAAAAAAAGGCCAACATTTCCCACTCCTGGCTAGGTCCAGCCCTTGGCTACTCAAAATGTGGTCCACAGATCATAGCAACAGCATTCCCCCAAAAGTGTTGAAATCCCCAAAACTACAGAATCACAATCTTCATTTTCCCAAAATCTCCACATGATTTATATACACCATAAAGACGGCCATCTCTCTATTTTTATAGTTATTTACTTCCAATATGAACACACATAAATCCTATTGTGATTTACCAAAAACATCTTATGCTAGAAATACCAAAATCACTAAACGCTTTTTGCCAGCTATTTATTTATTTATTTATTTATTTTTTAAAGTGTGCTATAGGGCATGTATGTTTACCAGAGAGAGACAGAGGGAAAAAGTGAGAAAGCAAGTCACCAAGTCTAGGACTCAAACCGTGGTGGTCCATGCAGAAATCCAGTGCCTTTGGGGGCCTGGCAGGTGGCACGGTGGTTAAGAGCACTAGACTCCCACATGGCTGACACGGTTCGAGTCCTGGACCTGGCAACTTGCTTTCTCACTCCATCCACCTCATCCCCTTCTCCTGCTATGTCTCTCTCTGGGCAAATTAAAATAAATAAATAGGGACCAGCAGTTAGTGTAATGGCTGTTGCTGAACTCCCATGTAGTCAACCAAGGCTCGAGTCCCGGACCCGGTGGCTTAAACTCACGCCGGGTGTGTGTGCGTGCGTGCCCAAGATCCTGAGAGGAGAATGGAGGAGAAGGGATTGCGGTGTGACCATCCCCCCAGGGGGTGATTTCTCGCTTTCTGTCTCTATGTCTCTCTCCGTCTGTCTGGCGAGCACACGCGCCCTATAGCGAAAACCTCTCAAAAAAAAAAAAAAATTAAAAATAAATAAATAAATAATGCCCCGGGATGCAGAGGTTCAGAGTATCTTCCTGGATTTTCTGATTACAAACTCCTGATTAAACTCATTGAAACCAGGTGCTTCTGCTCTGGCGCTTGAGTAGGTCCAAGAAAACTCAGGCTTGTTAAATAAAGTCCAGAGGCATCCAATGGTGTGTTAACTGTCCAAGAACTGCTAAAGTCTCTTAACCGCTAGACAGGTACAGGAAATGAGGGGAGGACAACTGCTTACCAACGGTAAAAGCAGGAGGCTGTGACCCATTACACTTAAGGTCTAGGGCTGTACATTCTTGCATGACTCACTCACTCATTCATTTATTCATTCAATGCAAGTTACTTCACCTCATTTGAAGACAAAGATCAGAAAAGTATCTCCCTTCCTACAATGCAGGAGAGATCTCACCTCCCCAGTTAATCCCACCATCCCCTGCACAATTTGCACGAGTTCTTCATGCTCCCATCTCCCTTCTGTAGACCACAAGAGCCCAACCGCCATGTCAGCATGTCAACTTTGGCACTTTTGCTTCCCTCCCGCAACATGGTCCAAGATCCGGCAGGTGGTGTGGTGGTTAAGGGCGCTGTATTTTCACCTGGCTACCTCAGTGGTTCCTTTTGCTTCCCTCCTGCAACATGGTCCAAGATCCGGCAGGTGGCGTGGTGGTTAAGGGCGCTGTATTTTTCACCTGGCTACCCCAGTGGTTCAAATCCCGGACCTGGTACATTATTTCTCACTTTTCCTTTCTGTCTCTCTTTGTTCAAATTAAAAAATAATAACAAAAGGGATTAAATAAATAATTCTAAAAAAAAAACAACTTCCTCTCCGAAGTCTCCCCCAGCCCCCAGGTGGGGGTTAATCACTCCCCTCGTTATGCCTCCTCCAAATGTCTCTTTGGACATGTGTGTGTCTGTCTGCTCCAGCTCCTCAGACCAAGGAATATGCCTGAGGACCCTGCACACAGTAGGAGTGGCGGCCGCGTTACAGATGACAAAAGCTGGTCTCATGGCCCGAGTAGCTCAGGAAGGCGACCAACAGCCAGGTCTCCCGGGGCAGGGCCGAGTCTGCCATTCTCCTCATCCAGCGCCCGGGAAACTCGAGTTTTCTTTGCAGGGGCGAGGGGCGCTGGGCCCGGGAGGGAGCAGACGGTGAGAAAAACCAGAGCCCACCGGCGGGCTGCAGGGAGCTCCTCTGCACCGCGGCAGAGACCGGGGGTTTTGCGGGCCACACAACTCGGGGACGGGTGGGGGACCCCAGAACCCCAAGGAGAGGGCAGTGCACACTCGCAGAGACAGGGAGACGCAGAGACAACTACGGACAGCCCGTGCCCAAAACCCACCCAGCGGGGCTTCCTTACCAGGGAAAGACGGCCATCTTCCCGGTCACATGACCGCCCGTTCTGGGGCCGCCAACCCGCTTCTTCCCTCCAGCCGTCCGCCGGCGCCATGACTGTGAGGGGCGGCACCCGGGGCCCGCCGTCCGCCGGCGCCATGACTGTGAGGGGCAGGGCTGGCTGGCACTGAGCCAGGAGGTTAGGGCGTGAGGGGCCCCTGGCTGCCCAACCCACTGCGCCCCCTAGGGGCGGAGAGGAGTGCGGACAGCGGCCGAGCGAAGTCGCTAACCGCCGCTGCAGGTAGAAAGAGGGTCCTGGGGTCCAGCCTACCCGTGGTTGTGCGGCTAACTCGCTGATTGGCATGGGCAGGCCACGCCCCTCCAGGCTCTGCCCTGGGTGCTCGGGGGCTTAGGCATTTGTTGTATCCCCCTCCCAGGGCTAACAACCTGGGCGTCTCAGGTTTGCTCATGTAGGAACTGGAATTTAGCTGGAACTGAACCAAATGGGAAATTGGGGTTAGCATTGTGCATTTCCATTCCATCCACCTATGTGCGGTAGTGTTTTCTCTACTTTTTAAAAATGTGGGTGGGGGACCAGTAGATAGCGTAATGGTTACGTCGCTGGGTTCCCATGTAGTTTTAACTGCGGTTTGAGTCCCAAACCCAGCACCTTAAACTCACACTGGGTTCGTGTGCCTGTGTACCCCAAAATCCAGAGAGGAGACGGGATTTGTGGTGTGGTCATCCCTCTGGGAGGTGATTTCTCAATTTCTGTCTCTTTCTGGCGAGTGCATGCACCGTAGATCAAAAATCTCTTTAAAAAAAGAAGTGGACCAAATAGCTACCAGACCCTAAATGAATTCTGTGGGCCAGGTGCTGTGCAAGCACTTTGCATCCACCTTTTTTTTTTTTTTCAAACTTCTGAAATAACCACTGCTAGCACCTGAATCAGACTCCAAACCAGAGTAATGGGAGAGACTTCACCACAGGGCAACTTCTGAGCTTTTTTCCCTTTACAGTGGTCTTTTCTGATTAGAAACAGGTCAGAAAAAAACACATTCTCAAGAGTTCTTCTGGAAAAGGTAATTTAACATACTTTCAACTCTAGTTTTGCCCGAGTCCTAGTTTCTTCATCTGTGCAATTAGGATAAATCTGACTCAGATGAAGGGAAATGATTACCAAGTGCCTGACACGTGGCCAGCACAGTGGCAGCTGTACTTTGCTGCAGGCACAAGAATCATATTATACTTTGATAATCTTTGTTTGCAGACTCAAAATTCCATGAAAATCAATCATAAAGCAGTGCTTCTCACACACGTGTACACTACCCACCTGGGCATCTCTTTAAAATATCACCTCTGAGTCATAGATATGGGTGGTCCTGGGCTTCTGCATTTTTTCCTCTATTTCTTCCATGAGAGAGATCAGCCCTCAGCTTCAGCTGGCCCTGGTTCACTGGCATGCTGGTGCCTGGCACGTCCAGGGGTCTCTGGACACAGACTCAGAATCTTGCCTCATGGGTCAGCCTTGCAGTGTTAGCAGTACTGCTGTGTCACCAGCCAGCTCCACCCAACCCTTCACTTGTATGAAGGCCCCAGGTGGCTCTGCTGCTGGTAATCTGTTTCATGCAGGATTGAGGCAACTGGTGGTGGTGGAAGGGTGCTATGTAATTCAAAGGCCATGGAGCAGAGCTGTATCATGTGCTCATGTTCAACCAAACCCAAATATTATGCACGTGAAGCAAACAACGAAATCATCCTGCAAACAGATGGTTGAATTTACGGAACTGCAAATAAAGAATTTTTCCCTCCATAGCCTGAGAAGCAAAGTCATGATTTTGGGGCAACTCTGTCAATGTCCTCAAGAAATCAAAGAATTGAGAGGCACAGAGAAACACTGACAAGAGAACAGATTAAACTAAATGCATAACTGGGAAAATGGTATCTTATTGTCAAGGATAATTTTTGTCAAACAGTGTTTGCCCACAGGGCTGTTGGTAGAACCTGACCAAGGATGTGATTCCCCTGTACCATATTGCAGTTTGATTTGCTGTATCCAATGACCAAAGGGCTCCTTTGTTTTATTTTTATATTTTATATATTTTATAATTATTTTTATATCCTGTATAGGTACCCACAATGGTCCTTTGGAGATAAAGCATTGTAACTCCATTTCCCATTTCCATATGTGTGGAGGCTGCACACCAGCGAGTATGCCAAGGCCATGCCAGTGGAAAGTCCTGCCCCAAGGCATGGCCTCGGCACACTCGCTGATGCACAGCCTCCCATACATACACTTAGGTTTTTGCCATTGAGTGCATTCACTCGCCAGAGACAGGTAGAGGGAAAGTGAGAAATCGCCCCCCTGGGGGAATGGCCATGCTGTAATCCCCTCTCCTCTGTGGAAAGTGAGCATCATGTTTTCTCAGATTGGCCACTCTCCACACTCCTCCATTCTCCTCTAGGGATTTTGGGCACCCATGCACATGCACCCAGTGTGATTTTCAAGCTGCCAGGTCTGGGACTTGAACCAGTCAGCGATGTGGGAGTGCAGTGCCCTAACCACCAGGCCACCTGCTGGCCCCCATTTGCTTATATTTTGATGACTTTCTTTTCATTCAAGCCTGGTGGTCTATGCTTGTTCATGGGAAAGAAACCTCTGATGGGAAAAAAAAAAAAAAAGAGAAAAAAGGAAAAAAGATCTTCATCTTCAAAAAGGGCCCTTTGACTTTCAGCCCAGTGTGAGCACTGAAAAGTTTCCACTCACATGCACTATTCCCAGTTGTATGCCATGAACAAGACTTGGAAGGGTGGCCAGAGGAAAGTGAGGGGCTCTTCCTACACAGCCTTGCAGATTACCAATTGCAACATTTCAAAAAGAGGTGACAATGGGGAGCATTTTACTATGCTCACATTAGATGACTAGGCAACAATGCGAGCTTCAACCTTAGCATACTCTCCCTTCTCTGCTTCCCCATTCATTGTTTAGCATGCTTCTCTGATCAAATTAAAATTAAGAAAGAAATAATAAAGTTAAATAAAATAATTCTTAAAATAAATAAGCTAAGTCATTTGCAGCTTTACTGAACTGTTTTTTTGCCTTCTGCAAAGTCCAACTCAGTCCAACTCAAATGCTGTTAAATATGGAATATACCGTTCATGGGACTTTTCATTGTAAAACATGATCACATCACAATATGGTTTTGGGCTACTTTTGGATTTTTTTTTTTAATTAATTTGTTATAGGGTATGTGCACTTGCCAGACAGAGAAAGTAAGGAAAAGTGAGAAAGGAACCCCTACAGGGATGGCCAGCTGCAAACCCTTCCCTTTTGTTCTCCTCTCGGGATTTAAGAATGCATGCACACATTTCCAGGCTGTTTTCAAGCCAGCCCAAGACTCGAACAGTGCAGCTGGCCACGTGCGATCCAGCCTCTTTTAACTACCACACCATCAGCTGGTCCACAATTTCTATTTCTTAATAGTTCTTTCCTTGGTAAATAAAAAAGATCAAAAAAAGATTTCCTTTAAGATGAAAAGTTTATTTTGCCTTTTGCCTACAAGCAAAACTAGTGAAAATTAAAGTATAAAAATAAATACAATTTACATTAATGGACATTCCACTCAAAGTAAAAATAATGATAAAAATAATATATATAAATAAAAGTCCACCAAAAGCACAAAACAGTGTCTGGCACTTTCTTGAGAAAAAGCTGTGAATAATAATAATAAAAAAAGTGTAAGACAGACACACTTTTACATTTAAATTAAAAACACACTCAAGTTTCTCGAATCTAAAATTTTAACTTTTTCCAAAACATACTGTGTTTTAGCTAATTTGCATTAGTAGCCACAAAACTTTTAGCATCTATCTTTCTTACTGGAGAGTCTCACAATGAATAAGCTATATCCTGAGTTTTCAGAGTGATAAAGCACAGGTTATCATATTTAAAAGAAAATAACATGACATACTTTGCTTATAACTAAAAACTTGATAACTTGGAATTTTCTGACTGTCTTCTAATTTTCTGGTTCACTCATTCAGTAAGTGATAAATCTCAGAAAAAAAAAAAATCCAGTTTATACCCAGAGTAGATTATTATTCTCTGTTTAGAGCTGGATGAAAGAGAAAACCATCTTTAGCTCCATATTCTTAAAAGGATATTAAGAATATATGTAGGCTGCATTTTCAAAATACCAGTATTTAAAAATTCAAGTTAGAAAGATTAAATATCACAGTCCCAATTTTATGTGAGAAGCACAAAGCCCTTTTAAAAAATGGTACGCTAAATCAATAAGGACATTTCTCTTTGTAGCATTTGTTGGTGTTTACCTATTTGTTCTTTTTCATGACTGAGGGTACATGTGCACGCACAAGAGAGAGAAAGAACACTACCCAATGGGGCTTGGTCATGCTGTAATTCTTTTCCCTCCAGTGCTTCCTGACAGGATCCTGGGCGCACATGGGCAGATGTGTTGCCGCTCATGTGAACACTGAGAAATGTGTTGCCGCCGATGTGAACACTGAAAAACTAATCTGAACCCAGGTGGCCATGTGGGAAATGGCTTCCTCTGCACAGTGCTTAACCTGCCGTGTTGGGGGGCCAGCCCTGGTTGTTCCTTTTAGTGAGTTATGTTAGCAATAAAAATACCTTCAACATTGGTGTTATAAATGTACAATTTCAACTAGGCAATATTACTATCCTATTTGAGATATGGATTTTTTTTTTACATTATATAGCCCTTTATTCTCTCCTAAATTAAGCATGCTAGCAAAAACAAGACTATGGAGAAATGAAATGTAACTGCATGCAACATGTTATTCCTATTTTACAGAAATGGATGTAGGAATATAATTCTAAGTGCTACATTCAAGAAGATTGTGCTGTCTTTCCCAAATCTGTCACCTTCCACAAAGATCTTATAATCATATACAAATGTTCCTGACAGTACTGGTGTTACATACATGAAACTCAACATCTCCATAAGACACCTAGCTGTTGACAGGGATGTTCACTTTTGACTGAAGTGGTGACCTGCAGCTACTTCTGTGGTAGGTTTTAGGTGGACAATCAGCAGAAAGGTGTTTTATACTATGAGCTGATAGTGTTCGTCAAAGAACATGAACATTGAGAAACTAATCTGAGGTTTTAAAGTTACAAAACAAAGAAAAACAGCCTTCAGCAATAATTTCCCCTTGAATAGTATCCAATTTGTTTATCGAATTCAGCAGTTTGCAGAAATAAATGAAGTTCATGTTTTAGAACTTATTTATCATTTGTCATGTTTTCAGTATTTTGTAAAAATAAATCCAAATTATCTTTTAAGTTACCAAAAGGGCCTGTGTAGATATCTGGGCACATAAAACAAACTGATGTTTGTACAGGTTAAGCACAGAAATGAGGCAATTTCTATATACTTATTGTCTTCACCCAAACCTAATAATAATAAAAAGTGGAGTGCGGGACAGGAATTAGTCAGATTGACCGAATTATCCAGATAATTGCTCAGCCCTTTGACATCACTTTGCCTGTGTAAACAGAGCCCAAGGCTAAATAAAGTCAGGGAGCATAATGTGGGTAATAATCCTCTCCCCTATTTTATCCTAAGGAATGTTGTCTTCTTAAATTGTCGCAACATTTGGCCGCTTTCTTTGGATTTTTCCTGCATATACTCCTATAAAAATAGAGGAAAACTATTATTATTTCTCAATGTCAACTTTTCTGTAAGGCATCATTTAGTGAGTGATAACTAGGTGCCAGACACTGGATTAAGCAATATACATCATCACATTTAATCCTTGCGTGCAATAGTCCTGAGGTTAAAAAAAGTCACTACCATTATAAGGGTAGTAAAGCTAATACAAAAGGAGAGAGCTTGCCTAAGATGACAGAGCTAGAAGTATTAACGGAAACTCTGAGAACCCAGTTCTACCTGATTTGCTGTTTTACTTAACCATTTTGCAGGATGACCCCCTACTTTGGATTAGTGATTCCTGAGTTTCACTCTAAACTCTCATCCAGTACAAAGCATCAACAAATGTTTAAAATGTATGACATCCAGGGTTGCAATTTAGTGTGTACAAACTATAAATAGCTTTAAATGCTTTGTAACATTTTAGTGTAGAATTGTACGTCTAAGGGTATGATATACTATCATAACAGGAGTTTTCTAAGTCACTTAACAAAGGGTTTATCTCCACATATTTCAAATCAAAGCATAACTTCAAATTTGTTTGAAACACAATCCAGGCCATTACAAATCTAAGCAGAAAAGAGTAATCTTTCCAAGAGTAACTATGGATTTCTGTGCTTAGATTCATAGTTAGCACTTTAATCGGCCAGTATCCCAAATTATGAGTTCATGTGAAAGAATATTATTCTTTCATCTCTTTCAATCGTCTAAACATGTACTCTAAATACATCTTTAGAAAAAATGAGAAAAAACTTTTGTACTTGTTTAGATAGGTATGGATTGTACATGTCACTTCAAGGGTTAAGTTCATTTGCTTTAATAATTATGTGGCAATGTAATTAAAACTTAATCGTTCTTTTTTTTGAGAGAGAGATTTTTGCTAATAGGGTGCATGCACTCGACAGAGATAGAAAGCGAGAATCATCTCCCAGGGGGTATGACCACACTGCAGTCCCTTCTCCTCCATTCTCCTCTCAGGATCTTGGGCACTCATGTACATGTGCCTGGCATGAGTTTTAAGGTGCCGGGTCTGGGACTTGAACCACAGTCGGCTATGTGGGTGTCCAGCAACATAACCATTACACCATCTGCTGGTCCCAAAACTCAATAGTTCTAAAGACTGAATTTCATTGTAGGTTATCACCTGCAATGATTGCCTTTTCATCCTTTATACTGTTGAGTATTACTGAATAGAAGCAATAGTTGCTACTTTGCTTTTACGTTCAGAAGTGACAAATAGTGGAGATGAAATGCATGAGAAAAAAATATGGAGAGGACTGTGGCAAACTGACAATATTAGGCATAACAACAGTAATTCCGCAATGATTTTCCAACGAGGTAAGATTTATCACAATATATAACACTAACATGGGGAAAACTGAAAATGTCTAAAAATTTCACATAACTTCACAAGCGACAGATCTGGTATTTGGTCTGAGTCCTTCCAAATGGTTATCTTTCAAACTAGCTGTTTCCTACTGCACTAGGGTAAGCAAGATCTTCAACTATGATCTTCCACATTAAAACAACTCCATTTAGTGTCATTCCAAGTGATTTCTTCCAGGTGACCTTTTAAATTATCATACATATACACACACATACACATGCACATATATAAGTATATATGTGTGATATTTATGGATTATATTTACTATATACATGCAAAAAGTCAGCAATTATTTCAACATTATTTCAACATTATAATAGCTTATTTCTTCTTTGAACATAATATGAAAAAATTGTTTATGTCACTTGTTACCTCCTAATTTGGAGGGAATCACTTAGTAATAAAAGCTGTAAAATTTGCCTGTGTATTAATGGAAAGACAATAATTGATTAAAGGTTTAATCTTCATTGCCTTATGATTAAGTTAGGGATTTATTTTTAAATGTTTACAAAGCAATATAGTTAAAGCATGTGTTTTGAAAGTACTTTTTAATAGATCACATAATTTTTAGTGAGTTTAATCAAATTGTTTTAATAAAGATACCTGGAAAATAGTAAAGCATTTGGTTAGGAGCTTAGATGCGCTCAACATTGAATTTGTCTTCTTGCCACCATAAGTTAAATTTTAAAATGCCATTTTTAGTTTAGTCTTTAAATAATCCTTAAATAATGAACATGAGAGATTTAGTCCAAGCTTCTTATTGCTCAAAAGATTCAGACCCGTCCCACCTAGCATATTCACCTGTGATCCTGTGGTCAGGGGAAATGTTTCATCCCTTATGCATAGATAAAAATATTCCTGGGTGACTCACCTTCCCAAAGCTGAACAGATATGCAGAGATATAGGCATTGAATGATCATTAGTTTTACTCTTTCTAAAAAGGTTTTCTGAATTAAGCACAGATAATTCTACAGATTTTTCAGAATGAAAAATATATATCATTTTCCACAAGAATTATTATAGAAATCAAGACTGGACCATCATTTTACCAAGATTTTTCTGACTACCTCAAAACACAAACACAAAGGATCACTGAGAGGCATGACCGTGAATATGCCAAAATTATGGTGGCAAGGAAAGACCATCTGTTCCGCTTGTGTGGCCTGAGTTAGGGGGAGCTTGTGCACTTCTTTCTACTGGACAGGCTTCAGGAATTCATTTTCTACACACCTGAAACAGGCGCTCTGTTAGGCACTCTGCTCTGTGAAGACTTCTGTCTATTTTGCACAACCCCCTTCACTGATGTCTTAGGGGTTCTAATTGAATATAAAAAAATAATAAAGTCACTTGCATTAAGGTCTAAATGTTCAAAATTCAAAGAAAGTAACCACACTGCATCAACTGTTCAAAGCACAAATACGCTTGAGAAGAATTTCTGTCTCTCACACGCGCACGGCAAGGAAAGCTACACTTCTGCTCAGCCACCGGCGATGCCCACGGCTCACACTTGTTGGAGAATCACTTTGGTGATGCTGAACTTACTACATGGATATTTAAAGTACTTAATGAGTAAAATGGAATGAAGTGAAAAGTAAAATCATGCCAACATAAGATGATAATTAAAATACACAACAGTACACCAGGAGGGTATATCTGAAGATAGAACTTTATAAGCTCTTCCCAATGTTATATTAAAAAAAAAAAAAAAAAAAACACACATTTGAAAAGTAGGTACCTTTTATGTAAAGAACACTAGAATTATTTTTCCTTTCAAAGCTAATATTGATCTAATATTGTTAATACCCATGTGTGTGACATTCTTACCCTTGTCTACTAAGTAGCCTATGAACAGGTGCATTCTGTCCTTGGTTTGGCTGAAGGATTCTGTTAACAAATTAAATAAAAAATTAATTCAAAAGGATAAATTCCATTTTTCCCATTTCCTTTTAACGGATGAAAGATGAATGACAGTGAATGGAAGTCATCTATGCACTCATATAACCTATATATTACCAAAGCAAACTGATGGGAGCATTTTAATATGGTACTTGTGTTCTGTTCACCAAGAGCCCAAACCTTAGGTTTTCATGTATCCAACATATGCACTGACCTTTACATTTTTAGATAATTTACTTATATACTGTACAAAAGCCAACCTTATCTTTCCAACACATGAGAGAACAAAAATTTCACCCTTATTCTACAAGAATGGAAAAAGTCTAGAAGTTTCAAGGTAGCTTTCTAAAGTTTTTAAACAAGTATCAAAGATCTCCTGCACTCTGGCCAGAAGTCATGACATAATGGGATTTGAGTTTCCATCTGAGATCACATCTCCTACCAAAAGCTTCAGGAATTTCTGGTCTGACATGTGACAAGTATATGACCAGGTGATACAAATCCTGGGCTTGAGATCCTCTAACTCAGCAAGGAGTGTTCTACTGATGTAAAGTAAAACAAAACCAATAAAAAGGAAATTTGAGATTTACGAAATTTTCTTTTAAGGGAAAAAAACAAAAAATTCTCTCACTGAGACCAAATAGTTTTTCTCACCTTGTTTCAGAAGGATTTTGTTTAACCAGAAATTTCTTATTTGGCATTCCCATTTCAGCAGCTCTAACACAATATAAAAATAAAGACACAATATATTTAGAAAATGGGGGAAAATATGTTTACAAATGTGATACAGGATGACAGAAACAAATCATTTAGAAGTTGTTGTACTACTGAAAGATCTGTAGTAAGCATACTAAAGACTACTTCCAAGAGAGAAGAGTTTTAAAAAGGTAGTTATTAGGATATTCTTCCTATTAAGTTTTTCTTTCTAGGAAATCTTCAGGATATCCAAAAAGAATATATTTAAAAGATATAAAATTAAATATTGAATATAAAGATGAACTGTTTTTAAGATTGTGTGATCAGTTATCAATTACATAAGTTGAACACTGACAAGCTTATTTAAAGATAAAATCAGATCTTACCACCTAATTTCAATGAATCTCTTTAGAGAATAAAGGGACTTCTATCAGCTAAAATGCAGAAGTTTTGGCTAATCAGAATATACAAATAGGTCAGCAGATGACTAACATTAATCGGTTTGATAATAATTCATATAACATGGTACAAAAACTTACTTCATGTACTTCTTCCTATCAAGAGACTTCTGTGTTGCAGCTGAAAGAGCCACTCGTGGACTTTTCATTTTATCCTTTAAAATACAGAAGTAACATAAAATTCTACTGGTACCAACAATACCACTAGATTATAATATAGGATGACCCCCAAACTGCATGCAAAAGCTTAACTTTTTTTAAGAATTATTTAATTTGTTTATTTACTTACTTTTTTTTTTTTTTTTCACTGTAGGGTGCGTGCGCTCGCCAGACAGACAGAGAGAGACATAGAGACAGAAAGCGAGAAATCACCCCCCAGGGGGGATGGTCATGCCGCAATCCCTTCTCCTCCATTCTCCTCTCGGGATCTTGGGCACACACGCACACGCTCCTGGCGTGAGTTTTAAGCCACCGGGTCCAGGACATGAACCGCGGTCGACTACGTGGGAGTCCAGCGACATAGCCATTACGCTAACTGCTGGTTCCCCTTACTTACTTATTTTTAATTTGTCCAGAGAGGGACGGAGAGAGAGAGAGAGAAAAAAAGTGGAAAAGCAAGCCACCAGGTCCAGGATGCAAACCACAGTGAGCCATATGGGAGTCCAGTGCCCTTAACGATCATGCCACCTGCTGACCCCATCTTTATTAACATTCTAAACTTTAATTCAGTTATCCTTTATAATTTTTTGAAAGGTCATTGCTATAGGGCACATGCACTCGCCAGAAAGACACAGAGAGACAGAAAGCAAGAAATCACACACACACACACACACACACACACACACACACCTGGGGGATGGCCATGCTACAATCCCTTCTCCTCCATTCTCTTGGAATCTTGGGCACACACACTCATGCACCCTGTGTGAGTTTAAGCCACCAGGTCCAAGATTCGAACCACAGTCGACTACATGGGAGTCCAGTGACATAGCCATTACGCCAACTGCTGGTCCCATCATCCTTTATAACTGAAGCAGTCTGATTTGAAAAATTAAGTAATTGAAGATAATTTTTCCAATGTATAATATAAATTTTGCTTGTTATTTTTTTTTTTTTTGCCAACTACACTAAGATTATTGATTCTAATCACAGACTGCCAACACTCTGGTATATTTCAAGTGAACTGAGAGCCTGTTTTCTAACTCTGATTTCAAAACAGAAAAAATCCACATGATAGTTTCTAGGAAATTCAATCAAGAGCTGCTGATAGTTTTTTATAAGTCATCCAAGTAAAACTTCCAAAGCTTCAATTCCAAAATCCAATCACAAATTGGTATATAATTCACTATGTATTTTCAAATCTATATAGATTTAAATGTTGCTGGTAATCCTGAGATACTGGTGCTTAAGAATTGTTGGAAGGGTAGAGAAGTGACTAAAAGTGACATTTAGTATCAATTACCCTAAACTCAAAAGAACATCATTCATGAACATATTAACTCACCATTTGTCTGAGCATTTTCTCTTTGCGAGCTTCCCGGTCATGACGTAGAATAGACATTCTTTCAGCTGCATCCATCACAAAGAATATGTCATGAATACCATACAAGGCAGCTCTCAGCTGGGGTCAACACAAGAAAATATTATATGCATTATGTAAAGGATGAGGGTAGAGTTCAGTAATACTATCTAATTACTATGTATGCCTCCTTTCTTTAGGGAAAAAAGTTAAGATAGATGTCATTAAAACCTATTTTCAGGGATTAAATGAAAAGAGAAAAACACCACCTTCCCGTTTATTACAAGTGGTCGGGATCTGTGCATTTACCTCCTCTTTCCTGAAGGGAAGCATCCTGCGCTGACACGACGCCTCTCTTCAATGGTGCTTCCGACTGGAAACTTCTTATGAATTCCATAGTATCCTGAAAAATAAATGCTCCTTCAGAAACTTTTTTTTAGAAAGAGTCATGATCACTGGAGTTTCCTTTTGTTCTTTTTCTTAGGCAATCCAAAGTTATTAAGAACATAACTAAAACTATTATGACAAGTCAAACAATTCCAACAATTGAAGGAGAGACAAAAATACACAAGCCACTTCCTTTACGCATTACTTTAAAAATTCTCTGGATAAGATTAGTAATCAGACCTCTGGGCTAGTTCCGTGGTGCAGCAGTAATATGCTGCTTAAGAGAAACTGAGTCCCACATGGAAACTAGTTCGAATCCCCAACCAGGTCTGCCTGAAACACTCCAGGCACATGCACGAGTGCCTGAAATCCAACAGGCTGGAGGACTGGAGGGGGATGGCAGTATAACCAGACTCTGTAGAGGGGGCTCACCTCTCTCTCGTGCATGTGCCCGATCATGAACAAAGGAAACATTTTAAATCAGATTTATTAAGTTGTCTGTGTAACAGCAACAAAAGAATGATTGATCTGCTTGAGTTCTGAACTAATCTGCTCAGCTGTCACATGACTGACAGAAACTAAGACAGAGGTGAAAGTCAAACAATTTACAACACTCTTACTTTCACTGTTTGGCGCAGCTGCTTCAGCTTATCTGTCTGCATAAGCCTACGCGTCAGAAATCCCTTTGCCACTGCAGTTATTTTATTAAATTTTGCTTGTACTTCTGGACTAAAAACCTAGAAGAAATAAGACAGATACAACATTTTAAGAATCTGAGCATTACGCGCAACTGGTTTTCTTAAGGTATTGCAATGAACAAAGTTCTTCTATGTGTTTCCTCTATATAGTTTCTTTCATACTAAAACTGAGCTATTTGATGTTTGGTCCATGTAATAATGCTCATTTTACAACCTAAGATAATACAGCTCTTTGGAAAAAATAAATAGACATATTGTATGTCATTAAGCTTGCCCACCTGAGACCACCTAGTTTTGGCCCTTCCAAAAGGCCTTGTTACTGAGAGTTTGGTCAAGCCACTAGCCGATGATCCCCAGAGGTAGAATGGTGCTTCGTTTGCGGAACCAAAGCTGTATTGTAGGGCAGAGTTTGTGAAACCTAGAGAAAGGAACACAGTATTACACTTGACATCATATAAACATGAGAACATCCAAATAAACACCTGTGAGTCAATACGAATAAAAACTACCTCTGAAACTGATCCACATGCAGACTTAAAACATTTATGGCCTTTGGCTTATATACCAGATGGGTCTTTTCAACACAAATAGCATCTCGGGATAATTGAAGATGTGAAGATAAGCTCTTCTGGGGACTGGGGAATTAAAGGTAATTTAAGATCACTTGGGAGATAGCAAACTGTTTTCCTGCTGCATGAATGAACACAGGCTGAGCTCTGAGCAAATTTCCTGATATTTTCCTCGCTAAGGTAGTCTTTTCTCACAAACACCTGCTCGTCAGTCTTTGATCGGCTGTTGTTTCATCTTTCACGGTCACTAAGCAGCTGGCAGACAGCAAAAGGCTGAACATAGAATTACTTGAAAAAGGAACTACAGTTTTGAAGTGTGCCAATTAAATATCTTATAATTGGACAGTTTTTTCAAATGGAAAAAGATCTTTATTTACCAGAACTATTTGAATTTGAAGTATGGAGTGAATCCACTTGAGACAGCATCGTTTCCAGCAAACCAGAGTCACCTATTTTTCTCCATTCTAACTCTACTGCATTGCTAATGTCCAATTCAGAGGCTTCCGCTGTAATCGCCTTCTTCTCTTTTAACACTTTTTCCTGTTCTTCAATTTCCTGCAGATTAACAGTTTATTATAATAAATTATAGATCTTTTGCTGAACTAACCTACTCAAATAGTACCTTTCTATGCTTAACCAAAAGTACATGTAAATTACCAGTAAATTATTACTTATTTCAAGTTTTCCTCCTCAAAAAATATTTAGCCAATTGACTTCATTGATTTTTAGATTTTTAAAGAATTATTCATTTAATTTTACTTATTATTATTCAATTTGACCAGAGGGAGAGAGGAGGAGAGAGAGAAAGCAAGTCACCAGGTCCAAGACTTGAATCATGGTTGGCCACGTGGGAGTCCAGCACCTTAACCACCAGGCCACCTGCTGACTCCTATTTGATTTTAAAAAGTGACATAATTAATAATAATTAACACTTAAAAGTATTTATAATGTTTTTAATTTTTAAAAATATTTATTTTATTTTATTTATTATTATTACCCTCTTTTATTTTATTACAGGGCACATATGCCCACCAGAGAGACAGATAGAGACAGAGAGAGAAAGTGAGAAAGCAAGCCGCCAAGTCCAGGACTCGAACTGCAGTCAGTCATGTGAGAGTCCAACACCACATGGCCCTCGTACTTATAAATATTAACGTTTCTGAATCAAGGCTTTAATAAAAGCCCTTTTGATAAATTATGTAATTACTCTCTTAGATTAAGTTATACAGGGGGAATAAATTATAAATGTTTGTACTATGTGACCAAAATTTATAGATATTCTCAGCTAAATTCATAGGTATCCTCGGTTAAATTTCACTTACCAGCCCTATCTCCCCACATTTTAATTCCTTACCTTTTGCAATCTTTGCTGTTCCCTTTCCTGCTCAGCTATGAGTAGTGACAACTGCTGGGCATGCTGTTCTTCCAGTCTCTTCCGCATTTCTTCGAAAGCTAACATCTTGCTTTTTAGAATCTCTTCACCTTCTGAAAAGAAAGATGGCTCCTCAAATTAGAAAATTCAGGGCAAGTCTAATATCTAATAATTTGTATCACCAATTTAAATTATGCTTCTGACCCAACAGTCTTCTTAGATCTGACAACACAATCAATATGTAGACAGGTCTCCATTCTGAAGCTCTCATTTGCCACTCCTCTTATTTTATGCTACCCAAAGAGAAAGGCCAGCATCGTATCTCTTTTCCCCTCATACAACGGATTCCATCCTCAGCTGAACTGGTAGAGCCAGGACTGTGCGTTTGGGCACAATTCTTCCAGCTTTAACTTCAACTGCTGGTTCAGCTGTGGCACTCAACTCAGCTCAGCACTATTTATTCATGATTCTGTCCCTCTCCAGGATCTGTTATTGCAGCCTGTAGTTCTGCTTTTTTTTGAGAGCTTTTTGCTGTAGGGCATGTGTGCTCACCGGAGAGACACAGAGAGAAAGAAAGTGAGAAATCACCCCCCAGAGCGGATGGCCACACCACAATCCCGTCTCCATTCTCTTCTTGGGATTTTGGGCACACACACGCACACACACACACACACACACACACACACACACACATGGCACGAGTTTTAAGCTGATTGGTCTGGGATTTGAATTGTGGTAGACTATAAGAGAGTCCAGTGACGTAACTATTACACCATCCACTGGTCCCTTGTTTTGATTTTGAAAGTTAACATTTCTTTAGTGGTATATGGCTTTCTCAGTTTGAGGTTCCAAAAAAGACTGGATATTAAAATTTCAGATAATTTAGATACTAACTGAAAGAAATAAGAGAAATCATTTTAACTACACAAGCTTACTGAACAGACATGGTGAGATATTTTGAAATGTGGAAATATCAAATTTTATTCAGATATAGCAAATATATATTCACAGATGCATTATAATTCCATAAATTTAAAGAATCATTCTTTCCAAATATACACTCAGTGTTTTTCATTGAAGTTAAATATATTATGTGCTACTGGCTTGTTGTTATAATCCTCCCATACTGTGTTCCTAAATGTTGGGTCAGCAGAAAAGTCATGACATATTTTTCTATGCAAAAACGTGTCATGACTTTTCCAACAACCAAATACATTTTACTTAGCTACAATAATTTGCATTTGTCTCTGTGCAGTTTCCCCCAGGTAAAGGGAAAGCTGGAACAGCAGAATTACAGCCTTCAGCAAGAAAGAAAAGGCCTTTGGGCTTGACTGCTCAATCAACAACAGGTGTTCTTTCCATTCTCCTTCAGAAATATCTTTATAAATGAAGAGGCGCCCTGCGAGGCCGGCTGAGTTGCAGGCTGCCCTCAGCATATTGCACTCCCTCCCACACCCACTCTGACAACTACAAGGCCAGCCACCTCCAGGAATGGCTTCATCTCACAGGCCCAGCCTCAGTGGCACAGGTGATAGAGTGCCACGGCACTGTGCTGAAGCCACATGGGAGGTCCCAGTTCAGATCCCAGGGTGCACCTGTGACCCTGACTGGCTGGGAGGAGAATCATAGTACATTGAGACCCCACCATGGGTAATACTCTCATGAGAGAAAAAAAAGCACTGCCAAAATTGCCACTCGGTTGGCTCTGTGTACTCTGACGTCCACTGAGGCAGCCTCTAGCCATGCCGTTGTCTACTTGGAGGGTGTGAGTTGGCTGTTCCATTTGTTCTTACTACAGCTCTTACAAGGCTGCACAGGGTGCTTTTGAAGATTTTGCCATATGGCGCATGCATTTGCCAGAGACAGACAGAGAAAGAGAAAGTGAGAAATCACCCCCTGGCAAGGGTAGCAGGCCATTCTCCATTCTCTTCCTGAAAAAAATCTCAGGGCACACATACACATGCCCTTGGCATGATTTTCAAGCTGCTAGATCTGGGACTTGAACCATGATCAGCCATGTGGGAGTCCAGCACCTTAACCACCATGCCACATGCTGGCCCAGCTGCATAGTTTTTGTTTTGTTTTTAATTTTATTTTTATTAATAGATTTTCACTATTGGGCAAGAGTGCTCACTAGAGAGACAGACAGAAAGTAAGAAGTTACCCCCCCAGAGGGATGGCCATGCCACAATCCCTTTCTCTCCATTCTCCTCTCAGGATCTTGGGCACACGTGTACATGTGCCTGGCATGAGTTTCAAGCCGCTGGATCCAGTACTTAAAGCATGGTCAGCTATGTGGGAGTCCAATACCTTAACCATGATGCCACCTGCTGGACCAGCTACATAGGTTTTAAGCGTTCTGTTACAAGTCTGTTTTCCCCATAAGCTCTAGGAACTTAATTTACTTGATTTATATCTTCTGTATGACGAATTATGAGCCATGACAATAATTAAGGAGTAAACATGAAGAAAGATGTTCTTGTTAACTGAAAGAGACCTGAAATAATTTGTATCAATAAAGAACCATTCTCGAAACATCCCTTAGAGTCTTACTCATGATACTTTCTCTAATATTATAGTTTGATGTGAAGTATTTGCTGAAAGGCCAACTACATGAAGATCTCATCACAAATGAATGAGCAAACTGACAAAAACATTAGAACCATAGTCCAAAAGGAAGACCCCACAGCAATACACTGGATTAAAACCATGAATATTTCACACAAGACTATTTTCTCTGGTCATAAATAATATCCTCTATAATGCCAAGTGAACCAAGAGAGCTTCACCATTTAAATAAGAAAACTGAGAAAGCTTAACAAATGGCTAATTACATGCTTTCTATAGGATAAATGAAATGAAGTGTCTTCAGGAATAGATGAGGACAATTTTTTTTTTTTTCTTTGCAAAAGTATTGAGCCAGCTAGGTGGCGTAAGGTGGCTGGATTCCACGTGGCCAACTTCATGATTCAAGTCCCAGACCTGCCAGCTTGAGAAACACTTCAGGGGTACGTGCATGCATGCCCAAAATCCCAAGGGGAGAAGGGAGGTGAACGGATGGCTGCAAGACTAACCCTCCAGGGTGTGCTTCCTCATCAACTTCCTTAAGCCCCCAACTTTTTTTTTTTTTTGGAGAGATTTTCACTGTAGGGCGCGTGCAGACACTCGCCAGACAGACAGAGAGAGACATAGAGACAGAAAGCGAGAAATCACCCCCCAGGGGGGATGGTCACGCTGCAATCCCTTCTCCTCCATTCTCCTCTCGGGATCTTGGGCACGCACGCACATGCGCCCGGCGTGAGTTTTAAGCCACCGGGTCCGGGACACGAACCGCGGTCAACTACGTGAGAGTCCAGCGACATAGCCATTATGCTAACTGCTGGTTCCCTAGCCCCCAACTCTTACGAGCACATGTGCCCTATGACAAATTTTTTTAAAAAAGTAAAAGTGCCATCTCTATTGCAGGTATCAAACACTTCAAAGTTTCCCTTACCTTTGGAGCTGGTTTCCAGCACTTTATTCTTGTTGATGTAGACAGATCCCATAGGGTACCTTTTCTCTGGCAAATGTTGCCTTTCCTGCTCAGTTATGACGTAAGGGCAGTTTTCCTTTTGCAAACCATCGGAATCTAAATCAAGTCTCCGTTTAACTTTCTCAAGACTATTATCCAAAAATTGTTCATTTCCACGGGACACCATAGGTGTGTCCATCTGCTGTCTGGCGTTCTGGTTTTGCATCAGTAAAGGAGATGGGTTTTTCACATCATAAGATTTATTCAGTTCCATTTGTAAATTGTAGAAGTTTTTCTCTAACATGTTGGCTGACTTGAGTCCGCTCATGGTCCCAGAGTTTTGACTGGCTATACGCTGATCGGTAGCATACGGTTCACGCAACCTCGGCATGGCAGGACAAGTACTGTTCACTTTGTGTGATTCTTTCTCATCAGATGTTAACTGACCTTCCACAGTAGCAAGTCCATGGGTAATTGTACCCTCTAGCTGATTTCCTGATGACTGACATACCTGATTGGATTTACCTAAAACCACATCCTCCGTGGCTTCGGATGTATTTTTATTTATGTAACCCTTGCTTGAGCAAGCTTCTGCTAAGTCAATTGGTAACTTTGGCACAGTTTCGGGTACATTTGGGTTTTCATCAGTATGTTGAATGACTAAATCCACTGCCTGTTCCCTTCCTTTGGGGCTTAATTCACAGGCATTTATTGGGTTATTTATAAGTATATGACATGCTGATGATGGCCTGGAACGCCTTCTCTGCATTTGAGGACTCATACTTGGCTCCGGACTAGGTATTTTGGCATATGAACCTGTAAGACTTTTGATAACATTATTTTCAGTAACAAAAGTAGGAATAACTTTAAAATCAGAATCAAGAACAGTGGCATGGCCAGTTCGTACAGGTATGTCCACTTTAGAAAAGCTGCCTAAAACAGACATGTTCATGCTGCTTGCTTGAGTAGAAGCACCTTGAAGAAGAACGTTTGATTTATTAAGGCTTGGTTTGTCAGCAATAACTGAGCCACAGTGTTTGCCTATGAACTGGGCCTTCTCCTTTACACAGTCAGTTCCGTTAACAGCATCATTTTCTTTGTCTGAATGACTCTCATTAACACTCCTCTTTACACTATTTCTCAGACTGCGTCTAGACTGTTCTCTTTCTATATATTCCTTTGACTTTTTCATCAGGTTCTGAAGACTTAGTATGTAGGGATCTGGGGTAACTTCTGCTAAAAGTGATCGATCCTGCTGTTCATTCGTTGAAAGGAGACCATCAGAAACAGAAGTCTCTGATGGGGTTGCTGAGGTCATCTTTGGAGAAGCTTCATTTTCTGTGTGACTAGTATTTGAACTGTCACATTGCTTCGGAGAGTTAAATCCTTCTGGATCTCTAGCTATGTCTATCCCATTATGTTTACATTGGTCCTCATTATCCAATGGCAAAACTCCAGGCATCTTTTCAAGCTTTGCCAAAGGAGACTGTTCAGTAGGGCTTGGCAAGCCATTTGGAAACGTAGCAGGAACAGTCAAGTTTCTGACTTCTGAATTAGAGTAAATTGTTTCAATCTCCCACTGATCAAAATCACTGGCATGTGGTGCTTTTCTAACCTGAAAAAGGAAATTTTAAAATTCATTGTACAAAATTCTTTTTTGTATTCTTTTTAAAAAATAATTATCTTATTTAACATTATTTATTTATTTATTTATTTATTTATTTTAATTTGACCAGGGAGGGACAGAGCAAGAGAGAGAGAGAGAGAGAGAGAAAGTAAGCCACCAGGTCCAGGACTTGAACCATGGTCGGCCTGTGGGAGTCTAGTGCCCTCAACCACCATGCCACCTGCTGGCCCCCCTCTTTCATTGTATTCTAAAATAAAACTGAAATTGAAGAGTCAAAGTTCTGGCACTTGAAAATGCAAGCAAAATTTAAGATGACTGGTTTCTATGGTATTCTGTATCACACAAGAGAGTAAATTATTTAGAAAAGTATCTATTGGTCATCCTAGCCTATTTATTAAAATGTAAAAGTGGAAATTATCTGATACGAATATGAATATATGCATCCATGTGCAAGTTAATGTCAGAATAGAAGCATTTTCCTTAACTTTCTCCTGGTATTTTGAGAGGAATGTTGAAGTTCATGAAAAAAAGAAATTAAAGTATGAGTTTATTTTGGTAAAAAAATTCTGAAATCCATACATAGTATTTTTCATAATATGCATTTTCCATTAACTTTTTAGAGCGCTCTCATATATTATTAACATTACCTACTGTTTAGGATAGATATAACCTTAGGATTATAATATATGTAATAAATAGCAAGTAATTAAATATCTGATATAAATGATTCCTCTTTAACAAAGATTAACTTTTCCAGGACATTAAGTAAAAATAATTCAGTAAAAGACTCCTGCATCCCACATGCTTATTCTACAGTTCAACTGAAACTCCTCCCTAAAATGAACCAAATTCATGATAAATAATTGTTTAGCCATGTAGCTTACATTACTTAGAAATTAGAAATAAGAAATATTTCAACTTAAAATCCAACTCATTTTTTTAAAAAGTTCAATTAGATTAACTGATGGTCACTTAAAACAGAAACCTTTTAATGTGTTTTGGAACAAGAAAAATAAGTTGAAAAATCTGATTAAAAATTAAGACAAGAACAGCAATATACACAAGAGATCCAACAGAAAAAGTAAAATTAGATCTTGTAGCTAAATAATTCAATCTTGGGGACCAGCAGTTAGCATAATAGCTATGTCGCTGGACTCCCATGTAGCAGACCGTGGTTTGAGTCCCAGACCTGGTGGCTTAAACTCACGCCAGGTGCAAATGTGTGCATGCCCAAGATCCCTGAGAGGAGAATGAAGGAAAAGGGATTGCGGCGTGGCCAGCCCCCCCTTGGGGGTGATTTCTCGCTTTCTGTCTTTCTGGCAAGTGAACGTGCCCAATAGCAAAAACCTCTAAAAAAAAAAAAAAAAATTCAATCTTGCAAAAGAATAACAAATGAACTAGGATGGTCTCTAAAGATTACACAAGCATATATTAAACTGGCAGAAACCACTGTAATATTATTATATGAATGTAGGCTCCAGAATCCTAGATATTATAAGACTTTTTTTTAGGTAGTTTTGTATGTACTTGTTTTTTTCCTAGACCATATGGCCCTCCTGTCTTGCCTTACAAATCCCAAGACATGAAACGGTCTCCAGGTATTACATAATAATCAGTTCAACAAGATGTACTTGGTCACTACCTTAAGATCAAAATAAGCCAAAAGGGATACATGTTCAAGAAATCCACAAACATGTTCATAGGTTTAAGAAAAATTAATGATTTCCTTATATGAAATACTTCACATTTAACGCATGAAGTATTCAGGAGCTATATTTTTTGCACACCACCAAAACGATTCTTTGGTTAGATGAGTTAAATAATACTAACAAAAAAGTTATCATAGAATCTTAAGTTTTACAGTTAAAGCACATCTTAGAAATCTACTGTATTTTGGGACCAGCAGATGGCGTGGTGGTTAAGGCGCTGGACACTCCCACATGGCTGACCACAGTTTGGGTCCCAGACTTGGCGGCTTACTTTCTCTCTCTCTCTCTCTCTCTCTCGCTCGCTCTCCCTTTCTCTCTGTATCTCTCTGGTCGAATTTAAATAAATGAATGAATAAATAAAATTAAATAATTAAAAAAAAGAAGCCAGAAATCTGAGTCCGATTTAAAAAAAAAAGAAATCTACTGTATCATATAAAATTTATCTGAATCATTAGTTCATTTCAATAAAGTATTAGTCATGGTCTTTTAAACAAAGTTTTCAGATTCAACAATATGTTATGTCTGATATCTTCCCTCAATGAACCAAGAATAATATCATTTAAATAATCCACCTTTTATTGTTAAATCAGTGCTACGCATTGTATTTTTTTAAACTTAACATGGACGGTAATTATAATCTGCAAATTAAAACCTACTACCTGTACTACATACCACCCACAGAGAAACGAAGATAGCAATTAATGGGAACTACCATAAGGCTCATTATACACATGTCATCTATTACAGTATGAATTACACAAACCACAAACGCCTAAGATTACGAAAAAACAGATGCAGTCAGAAGAACAGTGCTATAGATTGCAGAAATGATTGTTTAAACCAATCCATCTGTTTTTTGTTTTTAGTATGAAATGACCCAGACCTTAAAACATATTGCTTATACAAATTTAAGTTAACCAGAATTAAAATTATTGCAAAAAGTGTAGATATGGTTTAAATGGTTTCATTTAGGATCTGAGATACATTAGGCAATCCTATTTATCCACACGAGGTTATATTTTGTGAATCTAAGAGCAGAATTTTCACACACACACACACACACACACACACACACCAACACCAACAAACAGGGCAGTTATTTACTTTTTTAGAAGAAAATAAGAATAAGGCCACTTAGTCAATTGTCTGTTTAGTTCAAGAGTAAACTATAGCGGCCAATCTATCATTTTGTCACTGAGAATTCAATGTTTTTAGAGTCATAAGACACAGACAATAAGCAATTATATTCAGTGTGTGGCTCTGTTGTCTAAGTATCCTCTGATTCAAGTACTGAGCATCACTAACAAGAGCAAGTGAATTCTCTTTAGAGTAACTGAAATGGAATATTACAAATTATGCAGCTTCTCAAACATAACAGTAAAATATATCGGTAATTAATTAGTTAAGTGCAAATATCCTTTTTAAAAATTATCATCAATGTTTACCTTATGCTTTCTTAATTATAATCTAAAACAGCTTAAAAATTACACACCTGAACATTTTCAAGAATCTCCTGGACACGAGTCAATAAAGATTTTTTCCTGTTAACGTGCTTTCTAGCTTCTACATCCAGTGCTTTCTGCTTTTCTTCTTGCATTTCCTTTCTTTTTTCAATGTTAAGCTGCAAAACATCATAAAAATGTAATTTTTTCTCAATGATAAAAATATAAAACAAAAACTAATCAATAGCGAAAGAAATCTGAAGCATGGTTGAAGGCATTAACTCAGATAGGGCATACAAGATCTTTCTGGGTAAATACTTCGTGAGGGTGTGAATTATACAGTTGCATGTCATATATCAAAACCCATGGAACTGTGCATATTTCACTGTTTATAAATTATTCTCAATTGAGAAAACAGTTACGAGGGGGAAAAAACTTATTCACTTATCAAATGCTCTAAAATGACAGAAAAAATTAGTCCCTTTGGCCACTGCTACCCTTCTCAATAGTAACAGCTCACTTCATTAGTCTTCAACTTATAACCTAATCACTATACGTTTTATCTCTTTGTTGCCTCAAGAAAATGTCCAAAGGTCTAGTGATTTAAAAAAACAAATAAGTGTTTATTAGCCTAAAGATCAGAACACTTTTTATTCTCCCACATTGTACCAGCCAATAAAAATATAATATACCCCCAAAAATTGAAGACTTCTAAGCACTCTATCTTTTTATAGTAGACTTAAATCTTAATTATTAAATCCTGAGAAATTTTACCTCTGTATTGAGTCAAGACTTATTTTAGACCTATGTAAGTAGAAAACATGTCATAAAAAAGATTATTTCAAACTTGGCAATATTGATCAAATACAACATAAAGTATGGATTAGATCCATAAATGTCAAATTTTGCTTATAAGTAAGTAACTGATAGTCAGACCCTACGCAACAAGCCTCAGACACTTCAGTCCATATAAAATCAAGCAAAATGTCATTGAATAGCTGATAAAAATTTTGCCTTACGATTACATGCATGGCACTCAAGAGTCATTACCAGTTTCCTGGTAATGACGCTTTGAAAGAGCCACCTAGGGGCCGGAAGGTGGAGTGATGGTTAAGGGTACTGGACTCCCACATGGCTGACCACAGCTGGAGTCCCGGACCTGGTGGCTTGCTTTCTCACTTTCCCTCTCTCTCACTCTCCCTCTCTCTGGTCAAATTAAAACAAACAAACAAACTAACTAACCTCCCTCTCTGGTCAAATTAAAACAAACAAACTAACTAACTAACTAATTAATTTTATTTTAAAGAGCCACCTAGCAGTCATTGTCATAAGTAAGTGTTTGAACCGAACATCACTAATAGGAGGACAACTAAATAGTATATAACTTCTGACCGAATTTAATGTGAACTACATGGCATCATCTCCAAAGAATTCTCACCTGATTCTAATAAAACTTTCAGGCTCAACTTCCAGTTTATAGTAACTTCAGAAACCAGAGGAACAAGTCAAATATCACATCCAAAATGTAAAGTATCCTATAAGACAACTGGTCTGATCACTCTAAAAATTTAATATCATAAATAAAAATTTTAAAGGGGTATAGGGGTTGTCCTAGATTAAGAGGGATTAGGGACCAGCAGTTGGTGTAATGGCTATGTCGCTGGACTCCCATGTAATTCGCGGGTTCGGAGTCCAAAACCCGGTGGCTTAAACTCATGCCAGCCGTGTGTGCATGTGTGCCCAAGATCCCAAGAGGAGAATGGAGAAGGGAATGCGGCGTGGCCATCCCCCCTGGGGGGTGATTTCTCACTTTCTATCATTCTGTCTCTCTCTTTCTGGCGAGCGCACCCACCCTATAGCAAAAACCTCTCCCCCCCCAAAAAAAAAAGAGGGATTAAAGAAACATAACAAGCATATGCTACTTATGAACTCTAGATCCAGACTGGAAAATAACACCTATAAAAGACAATCTGAACGCAAATGGAGAAATCTGAACCTGAACAAAATATTAGATGCTATTTAAAATTATATTACTAGTTTTCTTCAGATGTGATAATGGTACTGGGGTTTCACTATTTTTACCCCCATAAATAAGGAAATCAACTACAAGTTCACTACAAGGTAAGTGGCAAAGCAATGACTTGAACCCAGGCCAGAAGTTTCCAGAGCCTGGGCTTTTAACCACTGCGGTCCTCTACGTTGCCTCTGAGCACACGCCGCACACAGTGCCTTACAGCTGGGCAGGGAGAGGCTGCCATGCCTGCACGTTGACATCTTCCCTGCTCTTTTTTTAGAAAATATTTATTTATTTAATTTTGTTATTATTATTTTTCAATTTGATGAGAGAAGGAGAGAGAGTGCAAGAGA